CAGTCTCAGCATCATTTATATTATTCATACTTTAGCCTTATTCATATCAACCCATACAGTAGGACTATTTATGTTACATTATCTGTATTGCGGTATTTCGATCCCTCTTGTCTGCCCGGACTTCAATGATACTAGTTCACACTACTTCCAACACTGTAACTGATGTGTAGTGGAATTGTAGTTCGAGTCTTCCTGCGTGGCCATTTGACTATGGGATGTGTTTCATAGCGATCTACCAAGATTTTTCTTTTCGGAAAAATCATAACGGTACCCAGTTGCTCTAAATAGGACCCATGTCAGCGGCCCTTCTCTCGCATATATTATCAGTCTCAATTATCGCTACCTTTCATCTCGAGGAAATAGTTTTAAAATATAAGTGAAGCGCGTCTCGTTCGTAATGTATTGTCGCTGGTTCTCCACAGAACACATGGCCCTGTAGAACCTCTTGGGATGAACTATCTGTGGCATATAAACTTTCAATACTCGTTCGCAAACACTCACCTTCACTATGCCTCGCACCCACCAAAAGGTTCCGTAGATGCCAACAACGAACGGGATGCTACTATATCCTATATCGATGGAAAACAGTGCCATTTTGCGGAGGTCAATGAAATGATTGTGCGCAAGCTTAAGCAAATGGCTCACCAGGCTCCAGACTTCGGGGACATGCCAGCCCCAGGCTATACCATGTTGTCAGCCGCCATAGCGAGAAGTCTGTGTTTTATCAATAAGGTGAGCACGGTTGCGTGGATGTAGGGTGTTTGTGTATATCAAAGGTGTGTTGTTCACCTCAAGAGTGGGTTTAATCCGCGTGTGTGGATCATAATCTGTATATATATATATGTGCGGCGTATAAAAATAGCACCTGCCGTGTCTGTGTTGTCAGGGGTTAAATATCGAGTGTGTCAGAGATGAATGTACGCTCTAAACCAGGTGCCGTGGGTAGGTGGGGCGTCCGTTATCAGAGAGTGGATAACGGCGATGTGGGTGCGTTTCAATGCACATTAGCATGCAATAAGCTCTTCCTTGTGTATGCCGAGTGACGCTATCAGATGTCACACTATTATGTGTGTTGTAGCCAATCAAAACAGAGCCTTTTCAGGTTGCGTTCGCTTTCGAGATCTCGAGAGTGATAGATGGGATTGTGTGGATCGTACCTGCAAAACTGGGACCTTGTGTATTAGGGTTTAGGGTTTCATGCTTTTAGGTTTAGATCCCTACCTAAACCCTATTCTTCGTATCACTGGTGTGCTGGAGAGCTGCCTGTACGGGGCGTTCGCAGAACAAGCTCAAAGCTTTCGGGGTTTCATATCGTATCTAGCTAACGACCATTTTACTGTCTCCTATGCAGGTACTTAACTTTTCTCGCTATAGACCATATTATCGTCTCCTATGTACTCACTAACCTGTCTCGCTAAAGACCCCATTACTGTCTCCTATGTAGTTACTTAACTTTTCTCGCTATAGATCATATTATCTCGCTAAGCTAATGACCTAAAGTCACCTAGACAGCTACTTAACCTGTCTCGCTAAAGACCCCTTTACTGTCCCCTGTAAATCTCGTTTTTCCGCGTATGTTGACTATTCCCTGACCGCTGCCAACCACAGGTGAAGTCGCATTGGAAAATCGGTCGAGATTTAGCGGCACGCGTCATTGTGGTGAATGCATCGCCCGACTATGCAGCGCAATACATGTCTGTGATGAACTGCATATTCGCCGCCGTCAAGCAAAAGGTGAGCAAGCGATAGCGAACTATCATGACACAGACGAGCTGACACAGTCGAGCTTAACATACTCTTAAATGTCCCACACATATGGTATACGCTCACGGTTGTGTTGTTTTCTATCGGTATGCTTGGTGAGTTTACGCGTGGTCTGTTCCGGGAGACCGTTAGGCGTTAGGCGTGTCTCCGTAGAGGTGAGTCACTCATCTCAGGTGGAGTGTGAGTGAGTGTGAGAATTGCCAGTAACTTGCCGATGTATATATTGACTGTACATGCACATACAACATCGTGTCAACATGTGACAGCAAAGACTGTACATGCACATACAACATCGTGTCAACATGTGACAGCAAAGACTGTACATGCACATACAACATCGTGTCAACATGTGACAGCAAAGGGATACAAGGCAGAGAGCACAGTTCAAAAACTCGCAGCCCCACCCCCTCTCTTTCCCGCACATCTGTGTTTATTGGTGGGTTGGATGGCTTGTCGACTTCGTTTAAAGGTGCTATATCAACTATTGGAGCGGTGTGTGATCCATTGCACTAATCTAAAACGACTGAGTTTGTTTATCCCACCCAATCGATGCCTCATGAACTTTGTAGAATGGGTCGTACTCTTAGTACATACGTTGAAAGTCATTGGGTATGGGCTGGGAGAAGTGGTCAAAGTACTGAATATGCTCTCAAAATCTGTTAAAACGTATCTACCTACACGTGCACTCCTACACAAGCGTACTCTGTCGCGGGAAACTGCCCCTACCTCACAACTCCACTTCTTCCAATGCACGTCATGCTCACCTCCAGACGCCTACATTGTGGTTATGCTCATACGACGATACTTCCAATGTCACACACTCATACACAGGTAGTCATTGATGCCTGCTCTCTGAATACGCACAAGGGAACAACCTCTGGATTTTTGCAGCAAGCCACTGAGATTACTGGAGGCCTGCATATGTCCATCAAGATGTCCGAACCATTACTGCAGTATCTGATAGTATGAATTGGAATATATATATATATATATATGTACACACACATATATATTTACATA